TCGATTACAAGAAACGCATTCACACGATGCCGTGGCAAGGGCACTGGTGATGGGCCGAGATGACCATGACCCAATGCGGTAATTTTTCAATAATCGAGAGCGCAAACTATGCAAAACTTCATCGCCTTCTGAGCACTGCTGCTGAGCGTCCGCGAAAGATTATGTACTTAGTGATACTGGACTCAGATGATTCATGGCTAGCCACCGAATTGATGGCCGATCCCCTATCGGCAACTGGAAATCGCGCTCGGGAGAGCGGAATTGTATGCTACCAAGCGCGTCCCTAGGTCGCGGATGGGGGAACGACCGTCATCTTGCGGCTAACCGTGAACGAGGTGGGTTTATGTCTGCCGATCAGCGGTAGTGTTTGACGATGTGGTGGGTTTTCCGAAAAAACATCTGTGGACAGCGCTGCGATGTGGCGGGTGTGACCCGTCACTAAATACGGCCACAGCTCTTTGTCGAGGTCTACTGTCAAGGTTTTCCGGAAGAGGCAAGTGAACCAAAAAAACTGACCAACAGCTCATTTAGCACATCGCTGCTGCTTTGCAAGGCTTACCCTGGACTGGGCCACCGAGTAGTACAACAGCCCACAATGTACAAAATGATGAAATTTCCTGGTAGAACGATTCTGCACTCTAAGCCTTCCTTCTACACCGTACAAACCCTCAGTTTACTCCAACTTTCCCCCCATTCAATTTTCAATATGTATTCAAGACTCTAACTCCACTATTCGAGTGACGTCTCTAGCAAACCAATCTGCGAGGTTTCACTTACGCCTCTCCGGGGACCCNGGGACCCTCAGGCTGCTGCTTACTATCTCGCATTTTCGAAGCTCTCAGTGACAGAGCTGAAGCCGCGCTTACAAATTGATTCTCAGTCGGTAGCAGATGGTGCGAAGTGAGACTCAGAGGTTCATACAAAAAAATCCGTAACCCCGAAAGACAAAACTCATTTGTCACGTCGGTGTCCGCTCCAGCGGACTGCAGTCCAGATGTAGTCAAACATTAGGTTGACCAAAAACTACCCGACCTCTTGCTTACCGCCGGCCGGGTTGAAATCGTGATCTTGACAGTACAAACTTCGGACGATCGAAATACCGGNCTTGACGTGTATCTTCCTCGAGTTAGTGACGAATGCAAATCGACCAAATCGTTATAAACCACAAGAAGTGGAGTTGCGGATCTAAATGGAGTCTGGCAAGCTGGGTGGAGCACCTCAAGGCACAGTTTAGCTGGTCACTAAAGTCAGCTTCACACACAGTAATTTCGGCAGTTACTCCACGCTCCATCTCAGCAGACCCACCTTCCGAGGCAGAGATCCAAGCCTATGGACGTCACAAAGCGCGGGCTCTGATAGCCTTACCCCGGCTCTATTTAAAGGTGGAAGAATGAAGCTCGCTAAGAAACTGAAAATTCTGTTCTACAATGTTTGGGACACCGAGAGGGTGCCCACCCGGTGTGGGGGGGGATCGCTTGTAATTCCGATCTCAAAAAAAAACACGCATATGGGTATAAGCCTGGTCACAATAGCGTGGAAGCTGTTGGCGCCGGTTTTTTTCGTAGATTGTATACTACACGGAAGGTACAGGACCGCGATCAGCAGGCGGGGTTTTGCACCGATCAGAGACCAACGACCATTGTATTCTTTACCATCCGCATGGTCATTGATTTTATTGGTAGAACCATGCTATGAAACTTTATGTTGATGGAGTATTTAAGAAGTATATGTTGATTCTCAATGAGTTTTATCATTATACATCAAATCAAGTCCGGACATATAGATAGCATTCATCACCCTTTACGGAGCCTAGTGGAGTTCGACAAGGCTGTTCGATATTCTCATTCCTATTAAACTTTGTCATAGAGGATGTTCTACAGAATGCTTTATTCGGTCGAACAAAACGGGGAAGTCAAATTCCTCCCAGGGAACAGAGCTCGTGACTTAAAATATGCTGATGACATCGCTTTGCTGGGTGACAATGCACAGATAGTTCAATACTGTTTAAACCGCTTGGTGATCGAGGAATGCATGTATGGTATGAGCTTTGTACTATCCAAGTGCAAAGTACTTGCGCAAGAATGGCAGAAACCTGTGTTTGCACTCACCCTCAGTGGTTATCAGCTAGAAGTAGTTGAGAGCTTTGAGCGCCATGGGAGCTTAACCACAACTGGAGGTGATGTTGGGGAAGAGATCAAATCACGAATAGCGAAAACTAGAGCGGCTTTCACCAACCTGCAACACCTGTGGCGCCGCCATACCATCCGTTTATCCCTTATGGGAAGAGTATACATCACCGCGGTTTATAGTGGTGTGCTTTACAGTTACCTGGCCCCTCCTCGTTGAGAATGCTAATCGACTTTCTGTATCAACCATCAATGTCTTTGAAGCTTTGATTGTGTCTGGAGGGAACATCAAGTGAGCACTGACGAAGTTCATCGTCGTGTGTTGTATGCGGATAGTCGTTCTCTAAATGAAATAATTCCTCCACATCACCTCCGCTGGCTTTATCACGTTGTGCGTATACCTGCTCGACATCTATCTTTCCATGCTCTCTTTGCACGCTCGAATAGTGTACAGTATGCNCCCCCCCCCCCCGCCCCCATTCCATAACAAGCGATAAATCAATACACAGAAAAAAATACGAGGTGAAACAAAAAAAGCCGTTATTATTCTTGTTCATTTAATCCACTATGTCCATTTTGCTGTTTTCTCTACTGCGATCGCAAATGTGTATTTTCGTCACAAAACCTTGTTTGCAACACCGGGTAACTATTGGATAGACAGCTCTTTCAGAGCCAGTCCAATGAAGAATCAATGCTATGATTCGATGTTTTGTAAGTGGGTTAGATGCTACTAACCGCAACAAA